CCCCAAAACCCCAAAACCCCAAAACCCCAAAACCCCAAAATATAATAAATATACTAAATAAATTTAAATGTCTCAGAAAGCCTGGAGACCCTTTGCTAAAAATTTTGAGAGCACCAGAGTCACTCCAAAGAAGAATAAGGAGTAATTAGTTATTTCGAGTGTGAATTTATTCTATTTTAGCTATGTAGAGAATAATGAGAGAAGAAATGTTGTAATCAGACTAAACTCCACTAATATAAATGCGTCTGTTCCTGCTAAGAATATAAACCAGGATCTTGTCCGCTGGCATGAGAAGTAGTTACGAACAATAATATCCTCTAGGCTGAAGGAGAGAATTAAATAAGAACAAAAAGATTTATAAACAAAGAACAAAGATGAGCAAAGAGAAGAGCATAAATCTTATCAGTAATTCTTAACATTAATACTTAGAGTCTTATGGCGATAAAATTCAGAGAAAGATCAAGATTATGCAGCAGATTACCCAAATACATGACTTTAGTCCAGTCAAGAGAGTTAAGCCTAGGGGTGAGAGTCAGCTTGCTAAGAGCTTTATGAGACATCTGCCTACTAATAGGTCATTGAAATAAAGGTAACTTAGTAAAGTTATTTCCTTAGAGAAATCGCAGAATCGATCTGTCAGACCTAAAGTGAAAGTTTCAAATGCTCCTAGTGAGATAGTGGCTTCACTTTCTAACAATATTGACTTGACTCCCAATGCTCCTGAGCATAAGAACACTGATGTATCGTTTGACATTAAGGAAGGGAAGTTGTTCATAAATGAACTGGAATCTGGAGATGAGGCTCAGCAAGCTAAGAATCCCAAAGAATCATACTCAAATTTTACTTCACGTACGACTCTGCTTACCAAAATAGCTCATGTGAATAATTTGGATAGCACTTTCACCCAAGGAATGCGGATGAGGTCTAGCAGCCACTTCAGGTTCCGAAGGAAACCCCCAAAGAATAGGAATTATATGAGAGAAGGACAGACTTCTTCCAGTTATAATGATATGAGTACTCTTTATTTTGACTTCAGTATAGATTTTGATGCTCTCAAGGTCCTCAAATCCATTCGAAAGTTTAATAGTTCAGCTCTTCTGGGAGACGAAGAGAACCACAGCCAGGAAAAGAAGGAAATAGGTAATTTAGGGAGCCAAATTTAGAACATGAAAGTTTGAATATGACCAACAGGTGGAAATTCATCAAAGAAGTATGCGCCAATTTAAGATTTACTATTTCCCTTTTGAACATTTTACTGGTTTAATGACATATTTTAAATATAGACTCCTTCAAACAGCACCTTAATGATGAATAAAGAAACTGATAGGCTACGTAAGAGGAACAGCTACCAGACACAACTACTAGAGAGCACCTTTGCAGCTCAAAACTTGGTTGATTCCGGTTTGATAGATGACCTGAGTGAACTGAGACTACCTAAATTAATGAAATCTCCCTTTAAAACGGTAAGTTCATTGACAATTTGGATTATCTTAAAATCTTGGATATAGAATGCGATTGGAGTAAGGAACTCAGAATCCAGGATTTACAAGTAATTTCTTAATATAAACTCTCAGAATGACTGAATTGGAGAAAAATCAAAGAAAAAGTGGTGCTCAAGTTGACTACGGAGAGTAAGTTTTCCAAGTAAACACCTTTAAAGAAAAAGAGCTGATTTGGATAAGGCAATAGAAGACATGATTTTTAAAACAGATCTGAATAAGCTCAATAATACACTAAAGAAAGTGATTGGTATGCGTGAAGATAACTTTTAGCAAGTGATAAACGGATCAAAAGGCCAGCAATGACTAGGAAGGTATCACCTAGGAAAAGATTTGACTTACTTAATTCCCCAATATAATATTCCAAGGCGATTTTCAATAATCTTCCAATTTCATGGGGTTTTGGGGTTTTGGGGTTTTGGGGTTTTGGGGTTTTGGGG